AACGCTGGAAAAGCCTTCAATGAATACTGGGTTACTGCTTGGCAACCATAAAGCCCAGGGGATGCCAAATATCAACATTTTCCCAATCCTTACTGTCATTACCCAGATTACTGGCTATTATTTGTAATCCATTAATCAATTATCACAGTGTTTCTCAACAGGGGCGATATCGTCCCCATGTGGGCGATTTTCCATGTTGAGAGGGCAATTAGCAACAATTTATATTTTGGGGGTGAAAAACAATTTTATGGGCGATATAGTAAAACATTATATTAAGAATAATTAGATATTTTATTTGTTATATCATACAATAATTAAACAAATAACATTATACTAGTCACTAGTCTATTCAAATCAGTACGAATTTGGTATTAGCCTTGGCCCTTGGCATCGGAATTTTGAAATGAAGGGGGCGATACTACGTAACGGTTTTATTGAAGGGGCGATACTACGTAACGGTTTTATTGAAGGGGGCGATACTATGTTGAAGGATGCGACGATTCGTTACAGGTTGAGAAACACTGAATTATCAGAAAACTAAAGAGGGCAACCTTTGGAGGCAGGAAGGAGTGCTTGCCAAAATTTCCCAACTATTGTTGCTACTCCCTTTTGCTATGGACTTCTGTTTGTTATTGTTGACATTGTAAGAAGTAAAGATCCTTATTGACATGGTAACTGCCATTTCCATAATGACTGACAGACTTCAGTGGAAGCTTCATATGGTTTTAATTAAAGTATCACTGAATATCTCTACCTTGGATGGAATGCTGTTAAACATCCATGGGCAGTGCATGGTTCAGATACAAGCCAACTCTTTAGTCACCCTGTTGTTTCTTGTCATGGCTTAATCTTTGGATAAAGATAAAGCCATGAGATATCCTTATTGGCTACAGGGTCCAACTCATCTATTTTGAAGCTGCTAAATTATCTCTTATACTTTTATCCACCAAATCGACATCGATCATTGCCAGTTACATATGACCCCAGTGCTCTCTGCAACAGCTGTGCTGATAATCTGTGATCCCCAATGTGTAATGAAGATTGCCATTTGACAATAGAAAGAAATTTAGTTATCCCAAACAGTTTGTTTTTCCCAGCAATGGTCAACTGAAAGAATGAATTACTAATGGCCAGCTGGCTCCTCTACAATTACTACCTGCCAGAATCCATTCATTCTCATGTCAGTGGGAAGTTGATACAAAATCCTTGCTATCACTGCCATTGCTGAAATCACTAAAGCTGATGAGAAGTGAAGCACAAGTCAGTAATCAACCTAACTTCAACCAATGAGTGATGCTTTGACACTATTGTCTATTTATGCAAATTTTTGGATTGGACATCCTAGCTGGATGAGCTACCATCAACATTAAACATTGAATTCATACGTGGTATCATCCAGCTATCAAACAAGTACCTATTAAGACTCATTGGCCAAGTAGAAGATTATCAGTGAGGAGGCTGACAAACGTTAACCTAATAATCTATATGCAATAACAATGAATATTCATCTAACTTATTTTAAGCTACAAAGTTAAACTAGACTAGTCCAGAATATTAAGCTGGATGGTTTGCACTTCTCAGTCTCCAGGAAACTGTGATTGAGATTTTGAGAATATTTGGCAATACTTCTAGGAGTGATTACAATGAAAGGAAACTGCTCCTGACATCATAGTATCTACATTTATGCATTATGAGAAGTTATTTGTAGTACAAAATAGACTTATTTCAAATAACCATAAATTAATGCAGTTATTACATGAAAGGCAAAGAAGAAAGCAACATAAGCTATGATTACAGTTATTAATGATTTGCTTTGAATACAAGAAATTCCTCAGTATCAAAATTGTCGAATAAGTTAGCTCAAGTTCTTTATCTGGCCCATTTCAATCTAGTTTAAACTTTTTCAGATAGTGCAAAATTTCTTAAGGTAAGACTCATTAAGCTAGTTTAAATTGCTAATACTGTATGTACAGGTTATAAGGCATAATTCAATTGTCTGAATCCCCACGGGCCTCATCAGTTATCTTAACAATGATGTTCAATTGAAAGTGGTGATTATGCATTGACTATTGGAAATTAAATGTCATCAAAAGAGATTTACCTGCTCCAGGAGTTGATAATGCCCTAGATTGTTTACAGAAGACCCAGTATTCTGTCAACAGACCTAAAGTTCAGCTATTGGCAAATTGAAGTTGACAGCAAGATTCAGAAAAGACAGCCTTTATTACTCTTGAGTTATAAGTTTTGGATCCTACCATTTGGACTCTGCAAAGTATCCACAACTTTTGAATGGATGGGCTATTAAAGGGTTTCAAATGGAAGGAACACTTGTCTGTTACCTTGACAATGTAGTCGTGTTTGCTCTATTTTGGCTTCTCCAGCATTTTTGATGGTCCTTGAATGTTTCTGACACTCAAATCTGTAGTTGAAACCTGAAATCTAAAGATTCTTGATCATTTTTTTGACAGGAAAGGGATTTAGTCCAATTCCAACAAACTATGAGCAGTCCTTGACTTTCCCATACCCATCAACCTCTGACAAATTTGAAGCTTCTTAGACCTTTGTTTGTACCGCTGTCACTTTACACTTAAACAGTTCATCACGATTACTCATCTCATCCTAATCAAAACTTGGTGGTTTTCAATAGAAACTCAAGCAAGCAAGATGCCTTCAATTAGCTGCAGACTGCACTTACTTCCAACCTGTTCTAGGCCTCTTTGATTGTAATACAGTAACTTAATTACAAACCAATGCTAATGGCTATGGACTATCATCCTTGCCTAGATCCAGGCTTACTGTCTAGTCATTATTTCCTATGCAAGCTGCACTTTAATGAAAGTGAAGGCAAGCTATTAGGCAACAGAAAAGGACTGCCTTGCTATCATTTGGGTCATCAAAAGATTCTGGTCATATTTGAATGGATGTGCATTTACACTTCTCAAAAGTGAAATTGCAACATTGTGAAGGAATACCTGTAGCTACGTGCAAATTGCAGCACCTGTAGAGATGACAGAGATATGCAAATGATATGTTTGTGTATACATTAGGTCATGCAGTATTCAGTTTTGCGCTATAAAGACAAGCAATTGGCTTGGACTGTAAATGCTATCAGCTATGGTTTGTGGCAGCTGAACTTTCGAAGAAGCATAGAAAATGCCTCAGAGACAACAGCAAGCTGAATACCACTAGTTAATAGTTGGGAAACATATTCTGGAGTTGTAAGACCTTGATTTGTCAATGTGCACAGTTGCCACATATGTTGGGCATGATTTGAGTACCATCCAGCAATGTGTGACATGATGAATGCAGGAACATCTGTGAACCTGGCAAAGAGGGAGTGGATGGCAATAGTGCATGACAGAGTGCACAGACTGGCATATTTACCAAATGGTCTGTTGGGACCCATTCACCACAGTACATAGCATCCAAAGCCACCTACTGCCTACAATGGGTGCATCTGTGTCCACCCAAACCATTCATAACAGGTTGCATGAAGTTGGACTGCACACATGGCAACCAGCAACCAGGATGCCATTAAAAACTCGACACAGGGCTACACACCTGGCATGGTGGCATTGTCATTGCAGCTGGGCCATTGAATGGCATTGGGTATTGTTTACAGATGAATCCTACTTCTGTCTGTGGAGGAATGATAGCTGTGGACAGGTGTGATGGTATCCCAGGGAATTCTACTTGTCAGTTGCATTTTTGCGAAGTGTCACACCAGCCCCACATTGGGCATCATGTTTTGGAGAGGCATCATGTTTGATCAGCTGATAGCCCTGGTGCACATTTACATACTCTGACAGTGGACATTTCTGATACTCTGACAGTATGTCACACAAATTGTGAGGCCTGTGGTTCTGCCACTGGTCCAGACTGCACCTGACATTGTTCCAGCAAGATAATGTTTGATCACATGTCGCAGGTGAACTCTCACCAGGAAACCCATCTAAAACCTGGAGAAAGAATTTCTTTAAAAGGATTTGAACTCTACCGCAAGGATGATGATGATAGCCACAACCATGCCAGTGGAGGTGTGGTTATTCTGGTTTCAAATCACATCCCATCCTTGCCAGTACAAATAACCACTGATTTGCAAGTTGTGGCAGTCAGAATTTCAGTTGGTGTAACTGTCACTTGCCACCAGATATCAGAGTCAATGATAATGAATTGGATAACTTGGTTGAACAGCTGCCAACTCCATTCCTTTTACTCGGTGATTTCAATGGTCACAATCCAATTGGGGCAGACCCGACATCAATCATCAAGGCAGAGCTATTGAGAGATTTATAGGCAATCGCCAACTGTATTTATTTAATACTGGAGAAGTGACATACATTCCATGACAAGAACATTCACTGCCATTGATTTATCATTAGCAACTCCAAACCTGTTTTCAGCATTTACATGGGGGGTTGGATATAATCCACTCTCTAGTGACCACTTCCTAATATTTCTAAAATATTGAGGCAGAGAAAGCTGTGGAACAGTCCATCCACCATACTGGAAACAGCCAATTGGCCTGCATTCTCCTCTATGGCCAACATCTCTGAGGAAATGGTCAATATTGCATATATCAATGATGCAGTTGAAGCCGTCACTTCCAGTATTATTCAGGCAGCTGTTAAAAACAATGGGAAAAACATCCGAAACCATGGTGGAATGAGAATTGCAAGGCAGCATACAAACAACAAAAGAAAGCATGGGGGATTTTTAGAAGATACCCCACTGCTAGCAATTTGATTGCATTTCAAAAAGCAAAGGCAAATGCCAGAAAAATAAGAAGGCAAAGCCAAAGGGATTCTTGAAGGAAGTATGTTTCTAGAATAACATCTTTCATTAGCTCAAAAGTAGTCTGGGATAAAATCCATAAAATTAATGGGAAATATGCTCCTCAGTCTCTGTCCATGCTGGAAAATAATGGCACAATAATCAGTGATATACAGAGTATTGCTGATTTGTTGGTCAAAACTTTTTCATTTTCATCCAGCAATATAATGTACTTGAAAAATTTCCAAGCTTATAAAGTGCAAACAGAAAAGCAATATCTAAACTTCCATTCCTCATCTAATGAGGAATACAATGTGCCATTCACCAGAATAGAACTACATACAGCAATCTCTTGCTCGGGTAATAGTGCTGTAGGCCAGGATAAAATCCACTACAGCATGATTAAAAATCTGTCAAACAAATCCCTTAGTAATCTTCTGAATCTGTTTAACAGAACATGGACAGAACATTCTTTTCCTGACTCTTGGAGGCTATTGATTATTATTCCCATTCCCAAGCCAGGTAAAGACCACAAGAATCCTTCTAATTACAGACCAATCTCTCTGACGAGTTGTCTCTGTAAACTGTTTGAGAAAATGGTAAACAGATGTCTGATGTTTCTCTTAGAAGAAAAGAATTACTTTTCACCACATCAGAGTAGATTTTGTAGGAACAGAAGTACCACAGACAATTTATTAAATCTTGAAACATCTATACACTAAGTGTTTATTAGATGACAGCACTTAGTGTCTGTGTTTTTTGATATGGAGAAGGCCTACGATTGCTGCAGGCGATATGGGATACTGTTATCTGCACCAATTTGGATTGCAGGATAATTTGCCAATTTTTATAAAAAACTTCCTACAGAATCGAAGATTCCAAGTTAGGATGCACCACTTTGTCTAAGTCTTTCATACAAGAAGAAGGTGTTTCTCAAAGTTGTATTTTGAGTGTGACTCTCTTCCTAAAATTAATAGCATAGCTAACTGTCTCCCTCCCAGTGTGAAACACTCTTTGTATGTGGATGACTTGCAGATTTCCTGCCAGTCTAGTAACATGAATTTTATTGAGAGACTACTATAAACTTCCCTAAATCACATGGACAATTGGACCAAGACCAATGGTTTTAGTTTTAACACAGAGAAGACCTCATGCATTCACTTTTGCCGAAGGCGTGGTTTACACCTGGATCCTGAAATGTACCTAAATGGGCTTAAAATTCCAATGGTCAATGAGATTAAGTTTTTGGATGTTTTGTTCAACCAAAAACTGCCTCACTTGTGCAATTTGAAGAGTAGATGTTTAAAATTTCTGAACCTTTTAAAGGTACTATGCTGCTCATTCTGGGGAGCAGACAAATGTTCTATGCTCAGGATTTATAGGGTCCTTGTCTGCTCTAAGCTGGATTATGGATGCATTGTGTATGGCTCTGCACAAGAATCTGTTCTTCGGATGCTGGTTCCAATCCACCATCAAAAATTGTGTTTGTGCACTGGTGCATTTTGAACCTCTCCTGTCCAAAGTTTGTACATTGATGCTTATGAGCCTCCACTATCCCTCAGGAGAGAACAGTTGTCTCTTTTTTATTACATTAAACAGAAATCTCAGAATAAACCTTTAGTTGATTGTACAGTATTAGATACTCAGCTGAAAAATTATTTGCAGCTCGCCCAAGGAATGTCCCTAGATTCGACATAAGAATGGAGAATGTAAGCAACATGATTGACCTGGACACAAGCAACATTTCAAGCCCAAGGTTGATAGTACAGTAGATTCCCCTATAACACAGGTTCATATAACACGGATTCGTATAACATGGCAAAAAAATTGTGATCATGTTCGTATAAATACGCTAAAAGAGACTCTTATAATACGGTAAAACGTCATTGCCGACTTGTGTTGCGACAGGATTGGTTGAATCTGGACCAATAGCAGATATTGCAGAGATCGTTGAATTTAAACAAGCACTGGATCTACTAAAAACATTTATTGTTCAATGGCCATAAAAATTATATTTTTATTAATGATGTCTCCAAAGTTCAGCAAATTTTTCGCAGAAAAATAACTTATTAGAAAACAGCGCCCACCATTCGATGAGCTGCTCCATGACGAAAACTAGCTTAAGCAATGGCATCATCAAACGGTGCACACTCAGTAAGTAATCTTACGATTTTTTGTTTATAAAATAAATACGACTTACATGAACCTATAACCGATGTGTATCCAATTAATCTATCATAGACGAACGTTTTCTTAACCCCTTCTGGGTTCTTCTTCAGGTGAAATAGCTGGATCGAACACCATAAAAACGAAATTTGAATAAATCCGAACTTTGTTGAGTTTGAATCGTTCTTTTCGTTCGCTTATTCCGTCACGCACTATGTTTGAAAGCGTTCAGAGCCAACGATCAATGTTCGAAGTCAAGAGAAAGATGTTATTATGATATTTAAAAACGTGCTTGTGCGATACATAATTATTTATTTAATGTTGTTCTCACACGTTCCCCTGTAGATTTTATTATATTTTAACACTTAATAAATATTATTTCGTTGTTATTCTGTACGTAGTAGGTTTTGCCACGCCATGGAAAGGCCGATTTCATCCCTTGAATTAATACAAGTGGATGTGTCGTATGCCCTAAAAATTTCCATCTCTTCCAGCCATTTTAGGCGGTGAATGTGGGGTGTGGTGACAATTATCTGCGCTTTGTTGAAGTCCGCCACTATTTCAGGATCAGTGGCATAGGTGGATAGTGATGTGGTGTGTCTGTTGTGCCGAATATCCGAGATGTGCTCATCTTGGATATTCGGCACAACAGACACACCACATCTGTTGGTCAACTTCTGTGATAAATGTCGACCTTAGCTTAAAGAAGTTTCCTAAGGAATCCACTCCATATAACATCGACAGACAGCATTTTGCAGGAATTTAAATTAATTAATCTATTAATTTAAACTTTAAAAACTGAATTTTCAATTCTCTTATATTTATTGATATTTAGTTTTGAAAATATATTTTTTATTCCATTGATATATTATAATTTTTTTCTTTAAAGGTGAATCAAATGTTTATACTCTGGGAAACATTGGTGCACATAGAGTGGTATCAACCAAATTGCCAGCTGTTGGTCATTCAAGAGGTGCAATGATAGCTGCTGGAAACACTACAACTCGTTTATTGGGTAATTATTGTATTGTTTAATTTAAAATTAATAAATACTTTTTATAGATAAAGTATATTTCATTGATATAGACCAATGGTATTCAAACATTTTAACAGTACGACCCCAATGTAATTTTCTGCAACCCCAAATGGGGCCACGACCCATAGATTGAATACTACTGATATAGATTATAATTGCCTTTTATTTCTATTAAAAATCTAAAAGTAATTTAATAAAAATACCAATAGTTTTATTTAATATACAATAATAATCAAATTGTACAATTATTTCATTCAAAAATGTTGATATGACCTCGTATATCCACAAGTTTCCAGAGACGGTTTATGTATTTTCCCATACTGTCACACCACCATCAAGATACTGCAAGAACAATGGAATTGCAGAAGTGAATTGAGAGTATAATTGATTTTGAAATGACTAATAGAAATTTGTTCATAGAATAGAAATAGAAAATGACCACTTTGTTAGTAATTGATAGACTTATATTTTAAATTATAAAGAGAACACTTTCAACTGTTTTTACACAAGTTTAAATTTTTTCTAACAAAGAAAAAGTGTGCTACTTGCATGGTGGGGAAATATCTTAAAACTGATACAAATTTCAAGTAAAATTAAGAAAACCTAAATCTTATTTTTTAATTTCTTTCTCTAGAAAATAATTGGAAAAATTGCTTTCTATTATTTTACTAATGTTTCACTGTTATTATCTATTGGGAAATATTTATATTGCCATTTAATTCATAAAGTAGTCCAAAATATTCACAGAATATCATAGAATTAAGTCTAATGCAAAGTTTCTTCTATAAACTTGACTTGTATTTTATAATTTATTTTCAGATGGACAGTTGTTTTCAGTAAGATTGAAGATGTGAATGATGCTGTTGGGACTTTAATAGAGCTGTAGAGAATGCCCATAGGAGCAAAAAAGTCAAAATAACCATACCTCAAAATGTGAACCTTTGCAAGATATAGCTCTCTAAAATCAACCTAAAGCCTATTTCCAGGTGCTATGGGGAGTCATGTTGTGTGCTCTGCTAAGCCTGTTGCATGTTTAACAGTCAGTACAGCATGGTGATCAAACATTCTAATGATATTTATTGGCAAATAATAAAAAGTCTGACACTCAAAACCATTTGTGAGATATTCACCTCCAAATGTGGAACCCAACAGTGGCAGTTCAGACTGTTATCTCACTTGCAGATGTCACTTGCAGATGTCATGGTTGCAAGCAAGTTATAACTTGCTTGCAACCATGCAGAGCAGAGTGTTGGTCAAGGTGAGCAACAGTGAGCCTTGATGATGCAGAGTATGGAGTAGCACTGGTTCAAGGTAAAGACTGTTTTCAGTCAGTAGAAGTTAATGCATTTATTATTTCTTATAGGCACTGATTGCTATGCCTATAACAAATAATAAATGCATTAACTTCTACTGACCTAAAATATTCTTTACCTTGAACCAGTGCTACTACCGATTCTCCATGTTCACGTCGTATAGTCATGTGCTTCAATGCTTGCTATAGCTTGCACCTCCACACCTGGGTGGGCAAGCTCCCACCCCCTAAAACTACATAACATCAAGTACTCCATGAACAGTCAAATGGGCTACTTGAAGCCAACAGTTGCATGACTAAATAGTTAAACACAATAGTCTTAATGGAGCACACAGCGCAACATGCAATCATGTGCAGCTGATTTCAGGGGGCTGTATCATATCTTGCAAAGGGTCACATTTAGAGTTATGGTTACTTTGACTTTTTTACTTCTATGGACATGCTCTGTAGATCTGTTAAGGTCCCAGCAGCATCATTCACAACTGCAATTGTACTTATTTGAATACCTTATTGAAAGTAAAGCTTATGATTACCAAGCAATGTTTAATTGTAGGAGTCTTGACTTTTATAATTATTTTTTAAGTGATAAAGTGAGTGAAATTTTAATTGATAAATTGTCGCAAAACATTCATATCCTTAAGATAGGGATTGTGATGACTCTACATTTATCTGCAAGTAATCATTTTGTATGGACATGCGTGTCTAATGATAGCAAAATTATTTATTTAGTTGGATGTACTGTACATGCATGGCTGGTTACCATTCTCTTCTTCAATTTTCATCATGTGAAAATGAATGTAACTGGAACAGTTGAATACATGGACAATCTCAAAGCATACAGCTTTAAACTACTTATAAAGAACTCTCTGGCTATTATGGCTGTCAACCACTGCACAATATCTACCTGAACTGGTTTTATAATGCATATTGTCAATGAAAAACTAAAAATTGCAGACCTACACTAACAACTAATAGTATCTTAATGGCTGCTAGGACATATGCCCTTGTGTGGCAGAATTCAAAAACACATTCAGGAAACTTGTGGATAAATTAGTATATTATTTTATATATCAATGTTGTTACTACAATAAAGTATAATTAATATAAGTGTATTACTACAGATGCATATGGGCAGTGAGCTGCCATGCTGCTAAGTCTCTAAATTATATCATATTTGAAAAATGGCTAATTTTTTGCTTTCAAAATAATAAATTTACAAGATATCTCACAAATAATGCAATTATTCTCATTATAATAATTATAAAATGTTAGAAGATTAATATAGACCAAGTTTTACATTTAGTAATGCCATCTAGTATTGGTATATTTAACTATTTTGCAGGAAATTTTACATTATCTCAACTTGTGTATACTATACTCTAACCAATAACATAGATTCTTTCAAAACTATTATGAAAAAAGGTGGCTATTGGCCTTAGTATATAATGTTTTTATAAAAATATTAGATACTAAAATGACTTATATATCTCAAATAATCAATCATAATTTGGCAAAAATTTTGATTGATGAGGTGGACTACTATTGATGATTGAAGATAGATGGATTATTGCAGGATCAAGTAAAAAAATTATTGGATGCAAAGCAAAAGAGTAGAACTGTTTCAAAAAACCTGTCAAGAATTCTTGACCCAATGGGGAAAAGATTAATTTTTTTTCGACAAGCTAGAGTAAAATATGATATTTAATATGTTCTTTTATAGTAATTGATGGGATTTTGGAATATAATCTTTTCTATGCAATAATTAAAAATTAGTAACTGGTACTTAAGATAATAAAGTAAGATAGTTTACTTTAAAAATTAGTTTTTTTTTAAAGATATAAAAAAATAATGAAATAGAAATTCAGATGGTCAAATAATACTATGAAAATACAGTAGAGCATCAATTATCCGAATCAATTGGGGACTGGGGTTGTTCAGAAAATCGATTTTTCAGATAACCGATTATGTACAAAAAAATATATTAACCTACCCCATGTTGAAATTTGTTCAAATCCTGGCACATCCTTAAGTACCCTCTCATGGTTGCATCAGTGCTGCCAGCTAAAACACACACACCAACAAAAATAATATTGATGTAGCCCAAGATATAGTCGAAGTTTTCAGCGCCATAGTACTAGTGGAAATTTACATTTGCTGACTGGAAAGCTTTCAGTTAATTGACGTTTCGGTTGATCGACATTCGGATAATTGATGCTCTACTGTATATCAAGTGATATTTGAAAATAGGCTACAAAATCATTATGTATAACTATTCTCTATAGCAGAGGTTCCCAACTTATTTTTATCAGAGAACCCTTTTCACCTTAATGATAAATGTTGGAACCTTGCAAATATCAACAAATTAAAACATACTAGTTGAATTTACTAATTGTAGCTGTATATTCGTTCAGTGAATGGTTGTCTCTTTAATCCAAAAATATTTCTCTCAGTAGACTATCTTACAGCAAGTCAGGTCAATAAACTCTTTTATTGTATTTTCAATTTATATGCATTTTGAACTGGTTTCATTTTCCAGTCCCTCTTCAATGCTCTAGAATTACAATTACAGATATTGAGTTGACAAAAATACAAATTAAAAATTAAAACGAGTAGAGATGTCAAATAACACAACGGAAACATTATTACCAGTACCTTTAAGAACTTTACACACTTCTTTTTTCTGAGTTATATTCATACAGTACTTGTATTTATCATATGAAATTATTTTTCTTGGTGTAAACCATAATATGATTAAACAATATCGCTATAAATAATAATAATACAATCATAAAACCTATTTACAAATAAGTAATTAAAAACCTTAAAAAAATTTTTTTTTAATTAATTAATTAAATTTTTAAAAATTTTTAAACAAAAAATACATACAGGTTTTTTTATTTTATATTTTTTGAAAATATTCTATTAAACTGATAGTTCTGTGTGTAAAACGTAATATAATGCAAATATTGCTAAAAAAAAAATACAATCATAAACCCAATAATAAGTAAGTTTAAAAAAAATTTTTTTTACAAAAAATATACATACAGGTTTTTTCTTCAATATCATTTGAAAAATATTCTGTTAAACACTAGTTATGTGTTGTATAAATTCAAAAAAGGTAATCCATACACAATAACTTTTACAACCTTTGGTGTTTAAGTTTTACAAACAGTTCACTGGTTTATTGTTACGCCCTCTATAATTTCATACCATTGTTGTTCAATTTGCATTCCATTAGAGACATTTGCAAGATTATTGTTACTATGTTTTACAATTTCAATATGTTCTTTAAATTTTCTTTTATATATATTTTTCTCCACATGTAGGATTTTAATATTATTTCTATCAATATTACAGTTACTATTTTTAATATGGTTATACCAAGGGGAGTTGTTATATTTTAATCTAATGGCTGCTTCATGTTCTTTGATCCGTATTTCTAAAGCTCGTCCTGTTTCACCTATATAATTTTTTGGATTTTGGCAATTACAGTTGATTTTATAGACTACACCTGTTTTTTCAATATATCACTATTAGTTTTATATGTTTTAAATCTATTAATGTGTACTTTATGTGAAATTTTGTTGGTCAAAGCTGGGGCCAAGACTATATTCTCTTTTTTAAGCATTTTATTACAATTATCATAAATATTAGTGATGTATGGGGAGGCTTTATATGTTTTGTTTTTTTTATTTTTTATATTAAATCTATTTTTATAATACAGTAATACCTCGACTTACGCTACCCCGACTTACGCGAACTCGAAGTTACGCGATTTTCAAATCTCATCGATTCGTCTTTTGTTTGAGAGCCACGCAACTCTTGATTACTCATTTCCCCCACACTATTGTTCAACTTACATGTTCTGAGATGTAGCACGGAATCGACACATAGCTACAATTTATTTTGTGTTATTTATTTCTGTGTTTGTTATATCTAAGGAGACTTAAGAGACTCTATGTGGTGATTTCTTGTAACCGTGAATGAATCAAAAGACGAGATAAGATTAACGAGAACATTCATTAGCTTGCTTACATCTGACTTGGATTTTACACAAATTGCGAAATTATACCCTGACTTACACGAATTCAACTTACGCGGTTATCACTCAGTCCCACCTATCGCATAAGTTTGGGGTATTAGTGTACTGTGTTTTCCAAAATTTTAAAGTTTTCTCGGGATAACTGTTCAGAATGAATTTTTGTTCTAATTCATTTAATTCAATTTTTCAGTCCTTTCTGTTGGTAGTTCTTGTGTATATATTTTTTAACTCCATTATATATGTATTCTTTTTTATGGTATCTGGTATACAAGAGTGGTATTTTATTTTATTTACGTTGGATGGTTTTTTATAAGTTTTAAACAAAAATTTATTGTTTTCACTTTTTATTGTTATATCTAAAAAATTACAGTGGTGCCTCGTACAACGTACTTAATCCATTCCAGGTGCACGTCCGTTAAGTGAAACGTCTGTTATACGAAACACATTTTCCCATAGAAATACATGTTAAAACATATAATTCGTTCCGCAGCATAAAATAACCGTACTGTACTATAAAAAATGAAAATGGAACAGACACCGATTATGCCAGGTAGTCAGATGTTGTGAGGAGGAGGTGGAAGAACACTTTCTTTACACATTCATACAGATACAGACTTTTTACACATTGCAGAGGGTGTTTTTTTTTATTGTTTTTTAATCAGAGTCAGATTCAGGAGAGGCTACCGGAACTTGCAGGGTCAACTTCTCTTGTTCCAGCCTTTGTTTTTTGCCAGCTGGCTTCTTGAAAAACATGACCAAGGTGGTCTGTTTCTCTCTCTTCTTTAACACCTGTCGGAAATGACGGACAAAGGTGTCATCGTAGAGATCATTGATCCTGTTGGCCTCAGCTCTGTTTGGATAATGAGTGTTGGTAAACTCCTGAACCTCTCCCCATTCAACAAGAAAGTTTTTGTCAACTTTCACTCCTGATGATTTCTTGCTTTGTTTCAATTGAAATCACCTTTCTGTTTTTTTTATAAGCCATGATGAATTATAAATGACTTAACTTGCCAGATTATATGATACGAATAATTCTTTATTAATTAAGATCACTAAACACTTCTACGAGCTACTCTTGCTCCGTTTGTTTTTTACAACCTCTTTTCGTCCCGCCACCTCGGCATCTAGACAATTACATTTCGTTTATTTGAATCATCAACATATATTACATTACATTTCTACTTCAGATATACTAATAATACATTCTAATAATACTAATATATCCTAAAAATAGCAGATTGTCATTGGCAACGGCAAAAGAGTGGAAACATCATTCACACTTGTTCGAAAAAAGTCCATTGTTTGTCTCATGTAACTGCCAAACGGAAAGTCCGTTGTTCACAGCAAGTCTGTTATTCGAGGCACCACTGTAATTTTATTCTTTTTTAAATTCTATATCAAATTTTATATCTTCATTTATACTATTTACTGTGTTGAGAATTATTTTATCATTTGTTATTTGATTATTAAATACCACTAAATAATCATCTACATATCGCATTACAGTTTTTACTCCTGGGATGTTTTGTATTTTTTCGTCCACCTCTTTCATTACTAATTCAGAAAGTTTTTGTCCCATCTTTGACCCCATACTAACACCATCGATTTCTCTATAAAAATTATCATATACTACAAAATAATTTCTTTTATATGCAAATTGTATTAGATCTATTAAAGTTTTATTTATTTTTAATTGTATGAGACTGTTTTTTACTAATTTCCATTTTATGTTAGGGTACATATTTTTTACATCTAGGCTGATTAATGTGTCTGTTTTTTCTTTTTTAATTTTTTGAATAATATTAATTGCTTCATCAGCATTTTTTATGCTATTTTTAGAGTTATCAATACATTTTGATTTGTTTTTTAATATAATTTTCTAAATTGTACAGTATCGAGTATCTGAAATCAACAATAGGTCTATATTTTTCTTCTTTTTTACATATAGTGAACATATAGTGAAATGCATATGAATTGAAAATACAATAAAAGAGTTTATTGACCTGACTTGCTGTAAGATAGTCTACTGAGAGAAATATTTTCAGATTAAAGAGACAACCATTCACTAAAACATACTAGGTAACCACTTTACACAAACCAAAAGTAAAACTACAATTAAATATAATCAAAATTAATTAATTAAAATTGAAATCAAATCAACTGAAAATTAAAACAATGTTTTTAAAAAACATTTAAAAGTTGTTTTGAAATTTTTAAGTTGTAAATCAAATTTACTTTTAAATTTGTTATGTGTGCAGTGGTGACAGAACATTTTGCTTTTAATATATCATTATTACTTTGGAAGAAAACTGGCATAACTCAAAATATTATTTTATTATAATTTTTTGATTATGACATAATCAAAATGAAAATGTAGTAAATTTTTATGTGGAAGAGTGTCACAAAAGTAACTTGCGTATTCAGCCACTAGGGAGCAGTTATGTGGGAGATAAGCGATATTCAGTTAAACTTTGATTAAATCTTTGCATGAGATTTTCTCAAAACTAGTAATTTTGAGTTGTGCTGGTTTTCTTTCAAAGTAGCAACTGTTTTTATCGTTTCCATTACCTTGTCAAACATAAACATTCTATCATGATTTTGGTTTCTCCTGTTACTGATAAATCTGTCTGCCACTGTTTTTAAAACTACTGTATAAATAACTTAGCATGTGTATAATCTTGGATTGAGTCCTCATATCATCATACAATGACTCTATCTGAAACTAGAACAATTACACCTTACATCCCAAATCTGCATTGGCACATTCATACATCACTAGATTCAATGGACTTTATTGTGGAGCCCCAAATTTTTATTGCTGGAACCCTAGGGTTCCACAGAACACAAGTTGGGAACCCTGCTCTATAGTGAAATGGCTCTTAAATAAAATATTATTTTATTATAATTCTCAAGATTCTTCTAAAAATTTATAGCATTTCAATGAATAAGTGAAATTCTAACTAATAAGTATCTAATGAATACGAGGGTTATTTTTTAAATAAGGTCTGTTTGTGAATGAGAGTGAGAATGACATGCAATTGCAGCAGTGTGCATGAGCATCTGCTTTCAGCATGCTTTGCACGTGTTTAGATACCATTTGCAGCCGTATCATCTCTCTGTGTGCTGAACTGTAGAAGTTTATAATGTTTAAGAAAATTGAGTTGCCCGCCGACTGTAAGATACAATCTGTTACTCGATTTCAACACAAAAGATCATGGTAACTGTCTTTTGGGACAGGAAAGGAACTTTCTTAGTGGATTTTATGCCAAGAGGCACAACAATCAATTCTGACACTTGTTGTGACATTGAGAAAATTCCGCTGTGCCATACAAGACAAGCGGTGTGGCCAAATGTCTTCCAGTGGCAGGCGGTAGATTTCTTTGAAGTCGGAATTTTAAAAATTTTTGAGCGGTATGACAAATGTTTGAACAAAAATGGAAATTATGTAGAAAAGTAGATAAAAGTATGTAGAATATGGGAAAAAATATATTTTAATGATATTTATAGTATTTTTCTTCTTATTAAAACACGGACCTTATTTCAAAAATAGCCCTCGTAAATTTTTTAAATCATTTAGAATGTTAAGTTGAAAATTTTTCTTATATGAACTTGGAAAAATTACAAAAAATTTCCAATGGATGAACTTTAAGGTATCTTCTTTATAGTTCCTTCATATATAAAACGTATAATTTACTTATAAATTAATTTAAATACTTTTAAATTAAATATTTAATGAAGACTGCGAAGACTGCTATAAGAATAATTTTTATATTTTCAGGAACATTTCAAAGAGTAGAATATATTTTTTTAGTTGGAGTTGCTGGTGGAGTACCACATTATACTGATTATTCAAAGCATGTCCGTTTAGGAGATGTTGTTGTATCTGTTGCTCCTGAAGGTCTTCAAGAAAAATTTATTTATATATATTGTGAAAATATTAAAAATTCTCCAGAAGGTAATGAGTCAAGTTCTAATTCTCCTGAAAAACATAGTATTAAAACATGGTGCCCACCATGTTTTGAATTACAAATGATAGCACAACAACTGTGGAATCAAGGTCTTATTAATCCAGATAATAGACCTTGGGAAAATTATATAAAAGAAGGACTCAAATCACTTCAAGGACAAGAAGCAGTTTTCTCTCGTCCTCCTCCTGATTCAGATAAACTATATATGTCTATTGGTGGAAAAGATGTAATAGAAGTAGGGCATCCTCAACCACCAGAAGGAAGTGTTGACTATCGACATCATAATATGCCTGTAATTCATTTTGGTGCTATTGGTTCTGGAAGAATGTTAATGAAAGATGACTCTATTAGAATGGAATTTGCTAATCAATATGGTTTGATGGCATTTGATACAGAATTTGATTCTGTAGCTGAATCAGTTTTTGGTAATAGAAAAGATAATTATATTTTTATTCGAGGTATAGCAGATTATAAAGATGGTACAAAAAAGAAAGAATGGCAGCCATGTGCTGCTCTAGCTGCAGCTGCATTTATGAAATCAATTATTTGTGCTTTAGATCCTTGTGACGATGATTAAGTTCCTAGTAAGGTTTAATATTTATCTCAGATCTAATGCTCACAGTTGCACCTAAATTCCAAAGGATACTTAAAATGAAAATTATAAAAAAATATATACAAATCTTATTTTAGTTATTATAATAAAGATCATCCAAAGAATTGAAATCATTAATAGTGATGTCCAAAATTTTTTAATCAATTTGATTCTATATAATATATGAAGAAAACTTTTTGAAATTTTAATAATTTTTTTCTAGTCAAAATATTCATAAGTGAATTTACTATATTCATTCTTCATTACAATTATACTTCATCCATGTTGTTGTTAATTTTTCATTTTATACTGTAATTTGAATTTATTTTATCTAAATTTCAGAAAAGTAAAATACTTATTAAATAATTGGATAAAGATATTATTTAAACAATTATAAGATATATAATTTTAAAATTTCTATGTACTTAAGAGAATTTCCTCTTGAATGATATTTAAGAACATTTTACAGTATTTATTTTATACCATTAAAATACAAATTGTGAAAATTGATCACAATTTATTCAGCATCTTATTTTAAATAAATATTTTTACATCATAATCACTTTCAAAAACACTTGTATAAATTTACTGGTGAATTTTTTTTATTTTTTGCTTTTTGATTCTGTCAGAATTGTAAATGGCAAAAAATAATTTTAAAACAGTTAAAAATTAATATGTTAACAGAATATTTTCAAAGGTATTCTTTTTTCTTCAGTTTCCATAAACTTCCCATATTGTATACTATGTAAAAAAAAATTACAATTTGTAGGCATTTATTAGTAAATTCCACAGATTTTCAGAATCAGTCTTAAAGGAAATGTTTAAAAAAATAGAAGAGAAACAAGAATAATTTTTTAAATTTATATTAAATTATGAAAAAATTGTATAATTTGCAATTTATCAAATACTTCAATTTTAATGAAGATTAAATTCTTGAAAATTATTTAAATGTTTTGATTCTTAAGTTAATAACATTTAATTAATTAATTAATTAAATTTAAATATTACTTTTACATTAGAATAAAATAAAATAGCTTGTATTTATGCTATTGCAAGTAAAAATTTTTGTATTTTATTTTGTACTATAAAATGATGGTTGTTTAGTATTATTTTTCTTGATATTAAACAAATCATTTTATACTATAGTTTTCATTGGATTTTTGATTTTAAACATAAAGTATTTATTTTAAAATCAGTTTAAATCATTTATTTTTTAGAATCAATTATGAAATAGTATAACACATCATTATATTATTTGATTTGCAAACATAAGGATCAGTAATTTTATATTAAAATTATGCAATTCTTCCAAATGAAACAACATATATAAAATGGTTTATCATATTTAATCATTGTTTGGTAGAAAATTTGAAGGTCAATCAGTGAAAGATAAATATATGATTTAATTAATTATGCTTTTTCTGAGATATGTTTGAAATAGAGCAGTTCTTTGAGATTAATGGTTTTTCCATAATTGAAACTAACGTTGATTTTTCTTTGAAAGAATTGCTTTTTACAAAAAATTGAAAACAGAATTTGTTGAATATCAATTAATCTTATTTGCTTCAATATTGATAAATGTAAGTACTATATTTCTTTTAAGGTGTTTTTTTAATATAATTTTATTTGGTCATTATGTAGATCATTGTTTCATTGTTCCTGTATTTTTTCTGAAGAGAAAATTTGTTTAATCTGAAATATTGACAAAAATTATTGTCAAAATGATACAAATAAAATAATATTAAATCAAAATAATAATGAGAAGCATTTTGTGCAAATAAATTGCATGTACTATGAGAAATATCTACTACAAAGCATTAAAATTCAATTAAAATATGAAGATTTTTGAATATTTTCATTTTATTACATCTAAAATATCAGAAATGCTTTTGGAACAAAAATACATTAAATAGAATTGGAATATTTAGACTGGAAAGAAAAAATTGCCTGTCTTTGTCTAAATCTTTCTCATATATTAAAACATTTTTTTTCTTTTTTAACTCTATCTCTACCCTGAAGACATTAAAGAGAACCTTCTCAAGCTCTTGGATTCAGTCAGGCCCACAATGAGACAGCCAGGTGATACATTTTTCAACATATCTAGGTCAAATCCTCCTTGAACATGTCTGATGATTCCTCAAACCCTGATCTCTCAGAATTAGTGCTCTTATGGTTTCATCTATATGATTCAATTTAAGAATAGTACTTGATTTTCTATGTTTGATTTCATTTATTTTCTGAATATAATTACAATATCCATCTAAAAAGTTGGTTAGAAATTTTGTGTTATTGAAACAAATATATTTAACAAGTTGCACATTTTTGTGTAATTTGTTAATGTTTTTGACTAATTTGAATTAAAGTGATTGACATTAATTTCAATTTCTTTCATAAAACCTTCATGTATTCATACATTATATTTTATACGGATATAATATGAAAAGGGAAATATCACATAAATCAGGCTTAAAGATCTAGGTAACTCTTACATAAATTTTTTTTTCCATTAAAATCTCAAACTAAATCTAAACATTTGAATTTCTTCAAAATATTAATGGTCTAAATATATTCTTTGTAATGTTTTAGATGTAAGAAAATGAAAATACTTGAAAGTCTGTAGATGAAAGTAGATCTTTTTTGTTTTTAATATATTTATTTTTAATAATTCATCATTTTTGNAGTGAATGGTTGTCTCTTTAATCCAAAAATATTTCTCTCAGTAGACTATCTTACAGCAAGTCAGGTCAATAAACTCTTTTATTGTATTTTCAATTTATATGCATTTTGAACTGGTTTCATTTTCCAGTCCCTCTTCAATGCTCTAGAATTACAATTACAGATATTGAGTTGACAAAAATACAAATTAAAAATTAAAACGAGTAGAGATGTCAAATAACACAACGGAAACATTATTACCAGTACCTTTAAGAACTTTACACACTTCTTTTTTCTGAGTTATATTCATACAGTACTTGTATTTATCATATGAAATTATTTTTCTTGGTGTAAACCATAATATGATTAAACAATATCGCTATAAATAATAATAATACAATCATAAAACCTATTTACAAATAAGTAATTAAAAACCTTAAAAAAATTTTTTTTTAATTAATTAATTAAATTTTTAAAAATTTTTAAACAAAAAATACATACAGGTTTTTTTATTTTATATTTTTTGAAAATATTCTATTAAACTGATAGTTCTGTGTGTAAAACGTAATATAATGCAAATATTGCTAAAAAAAAAATACAATCATAAACCCAATAATAAGTAAGTTTAAAAAAAATTTTTTTTACAAAAAATATACATACAGGTTTTTTCTTCAATATCATTTGAAAAATATTCTGTTAAACACTAGTTATGTGTTGTATAAATTCAAAAAAGGTAATCCATACACAATAACTTTTACAACCTTTGGTGTTTAAGTTTTACAAACAGTTCACTGGTTTATTGTTACGCCCTCTATAATTTCATACCATTGTTGTTCAATTTGCATTCCATTAGAGACATTTGCAAGATTATTGTTACTATGTTTTACAATTTCAATATGTTCTTTAAATTTTCTTTTATATATATTTTTCTCCACATGTAGGATTTTAATATTATTTCTATCAATATTACAGTTACTATTTTTAATATGGTTATACCAAGGGGAGTTGTTATATTTTAATCTAATGGCTGCTTCATGTTCTTTGATCCGTATTTCTAAAGCTCGTCCTGTNTTAACTATTTATTTAAAACTACTACAGACATCTTTGTAAATTTCTAATTTCTTTCTAATGCATTGACTTGACATTGCAGAAGATTTTAAATTATATGAATCAATGGCAATTTAGGCTTCTCTTTACTTAACGATCAATGAAGTTTTATAAAAAAAAATATTTATCAAAACATTATTAAAAAAATAAAAACAAGAGTATATAGTTAAATAAAGTTGCATATCATGTTAATAACAGACAATTTAAGAATTGTAACAATATTTTCAGACCTCATTCTTATCTATTTATATACTAGTTGAACTGTGCTCATTGAAAGTAAAACTTATTTATTTAATCAATTAAATTTTAATTTAGTAATTATAACTTTGTAATTTTAGTTAATGCATATAAGATAAATTTTGAAGGGATAAATTTTGTATATACATAATGTATATATGCATATGAACACACTATGCCAAGTTAAGCTTAATCTATGAAAGTTTAGAAGACCATGGATATAGATATCTCCAGTTGGTGTATTGATAATTAATGTTTATTGTTACAGTCTAAATTAATATGTCTGGAAGTAAAGATGGAAATCCAAGTAGTGTAACCACTGTAGAAACATAATTGGCTGGTAAAAAGAAGTTCAAATTAGTCATGCTCTTGATTGATTCCAGAATTTTATAAATTATTTAATTAAATCCTAATTTTTAATTGTAGATAGATCTAAAAATAGGGAGACTCACTGCTTATCTTTAGACCAAATTTTGTTTAATTAACTTGAAATATTGCTTAAAAATAGATATGTGATTTGTTAAAGTTAATCATATTTCAAAATATTAGATTAAGACAATAACATAAAATAAATATCTAGGATAATTAAGATATAAACTTTCAAAAGTTACTTTTAAAATTAATTATTGACCTTCTGCCTTGTGAGTTCTAAGAGGGCCTTTTTATCAAGCCTAAGTAGGTCTAGATCAGGGATAGGCAACTGTTCTCTATGTAAGGGCTGCATTTTGAAACTTTTGAAATGACATAGGCTGCATACAAGAGAAAAGAAGAAAAATGCCAGTAAATCCCAATTATTTATTCATATATAATTATAAATTAGCATAGGTGTACTTAATTTAACTTCTGGAACTGATGTAAATGTAATTTATTGGAAATTATTTGATTAAATATTAGTCACTGCTAGTTTTAAATTAGTTTTGATGTGAGTCTGTTAGCTGGTTTCTTGTTTTAATTTTTACTAAATTTATTGCAGGAAAAACTATTCACATACATAAGTTGTAGAAAATAATGTTTGAATTTTTGATGCATACTTCCTTAAGCTGGGAAATTGATATATTTATTCATATTTTATGCAACATGGGCCACAAAAAATATTAATGCGAGACGCAGGTTGCCCATCCCTGATCTAGATCAGTGTTCCGCAACCTTTTTCTACTTGTGGCACACCCATGACTCAACATGGCACACCAAAATGTTATTTTCCTCAAAAACATATGATATGATACTATTAATGGAATTATGTAATGCCACTAACCTATTATTATTGTTATTAAAAGACATCAAACCTGTGAGCAAATTT